ATCAGCGAGGAAAATAAGATCTATTTTACAAAGCAGTATAAATATGCCACAAACAGTACAAAAATATGGGACACAAATCTAAGCATCCCATGATTACATCTGTCAATTAAAGTCATTCAGTAAATAGCAACTAATTGTAATCGTAACCAGCAACCTTTTTACTCATAACTTTACAGAAAAGCCAAGTCTCTGGAAATAATGCTGTTCTTTAAAGAATACTGCAATATTGTTTTCACACAATGATGATAGATTTTCCCTACATATTATCATGTGAAAGAAGAATCCGTAGAACAGCATCAGTTTCTTGAGCTCAATAAATCAGCAAACAGTTCAATTTCTTTTGCATTTATCCCAGGAAAAGAAAAGAAAACATTTTTCTAACAATAATTAATCTCGTGTTGGGTTTTCACATTTGTTTTAGGTTAAATACTGGTTAAATGCTTAGAAAACAGGCATTCCAAGAATTCAAGGAATACGTCTCCAACTTTTTCTGTAAATCTCTAACATACTAGGAGCCAAAGTTTCTGGTTAATAACACTTATTTCATAAAATCCTACACTGTGCTGGTCAATCATATTTTTGGAAATCGTTCATCACATAATTTTCTGGAAAATGTCATTATATGACATCATTTCTGGGCAACTTCTTTGCCAAACTGTTAAAGCCAATGACTGGAAATGGCTTAAAAATTTTCATAAAATTGCTATCCATTCCATCATTCAAATTCCTGGTTATCCTGTTGTTGATAAAAATATAAATTCTTGACTCCCACAGTAAAATGATCATCTCAATGCCATTACCCATTAGAAAACTACCAATTAAAAGGAGAATATACTTTTTCTTGGAAATGCATAGATAATTAAATGTATATTTATGTACATGAACTTACATGTTTATGCATAAGTACTTCAAAATATAATGTAATTTGTCTACATATTGAGTTTTTCTCATTACTCCCTCTTACCCAATATACAATCACACACACATACACACACACACACACACACACACACACACACACACACACACACACAGATTTTGTATTAGTGTCTTTATACAATGCATAGCACAGTGCCCTTTATGGAAGCACTGAATAAATACATTTGACAATTATAAATGGACTCTTTAAATTATAAATGGACTCTTTAAATAAAATAAATTAAATAAACCAACACTAAACTGAAAAAAGTAGATTGTTAAAAACTGGGTAACAAATATAAAAACAATTTTAATAAACATCCAAGTGAAGACCCAAATTTTGCAAATCAATGTATGCATTATATATAGAAGATTATTATTTTCCTCAACACCACTAAGAGAAAAAAGAATAGTGGCTCAACAGCTGTATAGCACTGATGCGCAAAAGCTCATAACAAAAAATGAGAAAGAAACATTTTTAAGATCTGAAATGTCTTGAGATATAATTGTCCACATGGAAGTTGGCTCCAGCAGCATGGCAAATGCCAAATGAAACAGTCACAGCCCATGGCCTATAGCATTGTCGAAAGGATGGCCCTGGTTTCGATACAATCCCAGGAAGAGGTGGCAAGAGCTGCTTTTGCCCAGTAACTGAGGCCAAGCACCGGATGGCTCAAGGACAGGACTCAGGACTCCACGACTGAGACTGCCACTGAAGAAAAGGCTCCCGCATCGACTGGTGAACTTCTACAATCACTAACATGTGTGGGGTGAGTGGAAAATGAGAGAATTAGGTGAAGATATCGAGTAACCCGTGTGAAGAGTAAGGATCAGAGTAGTAGTCAGAATTCAAAGTGGCCAGGAACATGGCAACAGAAGCCCTGGGGGAGACTTCAGGGCGTGATTTAAAACAGAGATCTCACACTCTACCTGAGAGCCATGTGAATAAAGATTTTTGCAGTCTTAATCAAAATGTGCAATATTAAGAACTGGGGCCGGGCTCGGTGGCTCAGCCTGTAATCCTGTGCTTTGGGAGGCCGAGGTGAGTGAATTGCCTGAGCCCGCGGGTTCAAGACCCACCTGGGCAACTTGGTGAGACCTCATCTCTACAATAAAATCAAAAAAATTAGCCGAGCGTGGTAGCATGCACCTGTGTAGTTCCAGCTATTTGGAAGGCTGAGGCGGAAGGATCGCTGGAGCCCAGCAGGTCGAGGCTGCGGTGGCCGGAAGCGTGCCACTGCACTCCAGTCTGGGCGACAGAGTGAGACTCCGACTCAAAAAAAAAAAAAGAATTGGAAGGGAAGACAGCCCCCGTTTCATGCTGCTAAAAGTAATACCATAGTTTTCATAATCGGCTCTATAGACTTCCAGCAAGGTGACACTTTCTAGATTGGTAATGCACAAACAAACACAAATGGCAATGAATACAATTGTTCATTTTGCAGCTGTCCAATCATGAAATTCTTCTGTAGTTGCTGTTATGGAAATTTATTGAAGAAACTATTTTGGCACAGCCTTCTGAGGTCTTATAGGCGACTCTTAAAATTATATGAGGCTATCATACATGATAAAAACTTCATTCCTGAAACGAAACATTTAGAATGTTCACTCAATTGTATCATAAAAAGAAATGGTGTTCCTTTTTTCAGTGTCAAGTAAAATATATCTTTATCCTAATAAAAGAGAACGTGATATGGCCAAACTAGACACAAGTTCAAAAGATCTGTGCCATCAAGTCCTTTCTACTTTCAGCATATGGAAAAATGGCAACAACCTTGGAAAAATTAAGTAACATCTACAACACTTTGCAGGTTTATAATAGATCATTCATATATTTTATTTCATCTTTCTGTGGCTGGTATAATTATTACTCTTATTATATGAATGAGAAAATGAAACCAAAGAAGGTTCAGTGGTTTGCCTGAGTTCACAGCCTTAGTAAGTGACAGAGCCGTTGACTCCAAGTTCAGACTAGGCCCATCATGCCTCATGTGGTCTCATCAAAGCAACTGAGGGCAGAGGAAGCTAACTCGAAGAGCTGAAATGCTTAAGATTCTCCCCCAGCTTGAAAAAGGAACAAGAAATGATGCTCTACGGCGTCTGCACTACGTGGGAACAAAAGGCTAACATTTGGGCTACAGGTATTTTTATTAGGAGAGAAATTTTAAAAAATACTGTAACTGACCATCATCAAAGGGAGAGAATTTTCTATTTTTCTGACACAGAGAGCTAGAACAAATAGTAGTTGGTGGCAAGCCTAGGCTGTACATGAGTGGTGTTACATGTGTCATATGCCCCAAGTGTGGTGTGCCAAATGTGACAGGAAAAGTCCAGACCCAGGGCTCTAGGTGGTAACCACCTCATGCTCCTGCTCCTTCTGCTTGCTGAGATGTTCAAGAATGTTCATTGATTTTGGCAGTAAAAAGAAATAATTAGCAAGTGTTCTCAAAAGTCACCCTTTGTAACAACTTAAAACAAACAACAAAAAACAAAGGGAACAACAGACAGGATGGAAATAAAAAGCAGATTCTTCATGGCATTTAAATTTATTTCAAAAGAATATTGTAAGCTCATGAATGAGCAGGAAATTAATAAAGCAAACCTTTAGTAAAGCAATAACAATAAACTGTCAAAACATGGAGAAACAAGAAACATGCTAATAATGCCTAACAGATAATGCTTACATGATTCCCTATATGGCTTTACATTTTCTAGTTTATTGTTAAATTGACCATTTTAAAGAACAGTTAAACCATTTCTATTATCATTTTAGCCTCACAAATTATACAAATCTTTTTGTTTGTATAGGGTCTGTGAAAAGTTCATTATGTTTAGGCGGAAGCTAACTTGATCCAAAATCCACAAGTTCTGATTTAAGCAGGAAGAGACAGTTGTAACAGAGTTCGTCTAAACCATACAATAGCTACGCAGATGTGTACTTTATGCCTGAATAGAACACAAGTTGCTCTTACATATACTGCTTTAAATTAAAGTACTTGTGCAGCTAATAAGACATCATAACCTCAGCAACACATAAAACTGTGGCACAGAGCTCTATGTGATGTGGCCAAGTTAAAATGACCAATTCATGGCAGAACCAGACTAGAACTCAAGTCTCCTGACAATTAATATGCTCTTCCCACTAGGCCATCCTGCCTCCAACCCCATCACAAAATCACAAATGAATTCACAGTGTGAATTAGCCCTGGAAAGTATAATGAAGGCTATGTACTTGATGCTCACAATTTCATTACACATTCTAAAGAAATTGCTGTTGTGTACCCAATTAAATTAAATAACCTTTTCTGGAGAACTTAAATATTAAAGTAAAAACTTAAACAAAAATTTAAAAAATGGTACAGGTCACATTCAGAGACCTGCTTATTTGCAAATGGATGGATGAATGTATCTTTAAAGTATCAAACGGTCTCAGAAAAAATTCAGGTAACACTTTCTTCCTCACAGGTTTCTTCCTAAAATAAGATAGCCCTGACTTCCAGAGTAGTCACAGGAAAGATTCCAGAAAAATCACAATAAAGATTTCAGACCACATATCATACTACATTGGTTCACTGTTTGCCAAATTGTGTTAATTCTTGCCAGAGATAATTTAATGTTTATATTATATGCCTATTTCAAAAGTATTGGCTTTTAAGGTCCAAAAGTACTCTACAACAAGGAAAGGGCTTTTTTAGTCATTTGGTCTGAATGTAGAGTTTAGATATATGATCTATAATAAATACTGTTATACCCATGGTAAAAAAAAGTTCATTTGTTTTATAGAAATAAAAGTCATGTTAAACTACACAATCCAACAGATCTTAGAAGACCATGTAAAATAAACATTACTTTTAAAATATAATGTTTAAAATTCTGCTACTTTTCTGCTCCCAGAAGCACTTCTGTGTCCTCCCAAACACTGGCTCCTGACTGCAGAACACTAATGAATGGCCCATGAGCCACAGGACCAACACTTTCAGCCAGGCAAGGGCCATTCACCAACAGCTTTCAGAGGGGGAATAAAGATTTACTTCAGCAACCTGGATTCTTCCATACAGCCCAGCCTGTGGATCCTAACTTACCTCACGTGATAGTCGGTTGCTGGTCTAAGATCTTTCAGGTTACATTCTAATTCTTCTCCACTGCAAAGAAAAATCATCCATTTGTTAATAATACTGGTTTCAAAAGGAAACAAGTTTTGAATCTGGGCCTTTGTCATGTACCGACAGTAAAAAACTATCTATGTCTGATTCCACCATAAACCAGAAATAAACTTTCTTGCTTGGTATTATTATTTGTTTTGGACTAGAAAATCAGATTCCTTTTAATGATGCCATCTGAGATCTGAAAAGGCAAGGTTAACTTAAGAACAAAATCTGGAAAGGTCGTATCACTTCTTTTTGTTTTTTGTGTTTTATTTTTTTTTGAGTTGGAGTCTCACTCTGTCACTCAAGCTGGAATGCAGTGGCATGCTCACGGCCACCACAGCCTTGACCTGCTGGGCTCAGGCAATCCTTCTGCCTCAGCCTTCCAAGGAGCTGGATCCTTCTGCCTCAGCCTTTCAGGGCGCACGCTACTACGCCCAGCTAATTTTTTATTTATTGTAGAGATGAGGTCTTGCCAAGTTGCCCAGGCTGGTCTTGAACCCACAAGCTCAGGCAATCCACTCACCTTGGCCTCCCAAAGTGCTGGGATTACAGGCTGAGCCACCGAGCCCAGCCTTGTATCACTTCTTAAAAGCAAATACATAATATAAATAAATAAAATAAGCAAGCAAATAAATAAATGAACAAACGAATGAAAATAATCGCACCAACTGCTGATGGAAGGTGCCTCCCAGACTCACCTTGGCAGGAGCCTTAACCACCTCAACTCTGAACTGTCCTGATGAAATCACAAGCTGCTTCCTTCACATTCAAGTGCAAGCAACATATGGCTAAAACCATTTACATGATCAAAAGTTGTGAATGAACCTCAACTTAAATCATGAGGAAGCAATCAACACAAAATAAGGAATGTTCCATTAAAAATTTTCAAAAAGGTGAGGGGGTGTGTACGTGCATGACTTATTTTAAAAATAACAAGCATTATTTAGATCAACCAACAAAACAGGAATATAAATAACAGATTGTATCAATTGTATCAATGTCAATATAAATTTATGAAGTTAATAACTGTACTGTGGTTAAGAAAATATTCTTATTCACAGAAAATACATGAAAATATTTAGTGGTAAGGGACCATGATATATAAAATTATAGAAAAGACTTATAGATTGGAAAAAATGTATAGATTGAGAGGGCCAAAGAGTTCAAATGATAAAGCAAATGGGACATATAACAGTGAATGTGGGTATGAAGAATAAGTGTATTCCTTGACTTTCATTTTTGTGACATTTTATAAGTATAAAATTATTCCAAATAAAAGACTTTTTAAAAAGTTGCACAGAAGCTGTGTCTATACCTTGCCTGAAGCTCTATTGTTTAACTTGCATTGCATCTTTAAAATTTTTTGCATTTGCTATGTTAGTTTAATAACAGAAAAGTTTACATAACAATACAAAATTTTCAGTGCTCTTGAAAAAAAGATACCCATGAACTTTGGCCACAACCTACTTGGGCTTGCAGTGACTGCCTCCTTTGAGCTGCATCAGGAGTGCCTGGCATCTCTTTTCTCACGTGTGCTATCTGCCTGCCCCTCTGGGCACTCACGACTTGTTCCTGCCACCAATGTTTACGCCGCGTTAACAACATCTATCTACAATCGACCCTAGGTAGCCCAGGGATTGGTTCCAGGACCCTGCCCTCCCAACATACACGAAAGTCCACATAGATTCAGGTCACCCACCCCTCACTGACCCTGTATATCCACAGGTTTGACACCCCACCGATACTGTATTTTTGATCCCCACGTGGTTAAAAAAATAATCCACATATAAGCAGATCCATGAATGCTCAGAACTGTGGGGTTTAATTCTATCTTGCCAGGGATAGGAGAGATGACAACTTGTATTTCTTTAAGGCCTTCACCAATTCTGATTTTTCAGAACAGAATCATAGGGCTGTGAGCCACAGCTAGCAGTTAGGACTTTATCCTAAGCAAGTGGGGAATCACTGGAGTGCTCGCCACAGGACAGTGATCTGGTCCGACTTTTATTTCTGTGCCATGGAGGCTAGATTATAGGAGAGTCAGAATGGAGGATGGAGATTTGAGGAGATTCCTGCAGGTGTCCTGGGAGAGACTGTGGAGGTAGTCTGGCATCAAGAGGGAGCCACAGTAGCTCAAGAGCTTCCATTCTTACCTCTGCCCCGTGTCTCTGTTGGGAAGAAGATGGACCATGAAGCAAGTCAGGAATCAGGCGCAGGGATCGGAAGACATGGGTCTGCGGTACTGATGCAGGGACACAGGAGGGAAAACAAGCCCCTCCAGCAGAGAAAGAAGTGGGGCTTATGTGACCACATAATCCTGAGCGTGGGCAGTCACTGTGGGCACCGCTCAAAGAGCGCTTACACAAGTAATAAAACAAAACTTGTCTTTCAGATTTTCTACTCTGCAGGCCTGAGCGGTGCCCAGCAATTATGAAGGAGAAAGACTTGACCTGACGTTTTTTGTATCACATTAGAACTCAGCTGTGAGTCATTTGAGTGGTCACCACCTGGGGTCCATAAAGCAGAAAGGACTCCTCTCTCGTTCATGTGCTGAACTTTTGACCATTTAAGAAGGCCTCAGACTGAGATGTTTTAAAGTAATTGGGAAGTAGGGAAGACAGCGGCTGGGGGGGTCCTCAGCGCACCTGGACTTTGTCATCAGGCGGGCCTCCAAGGCTGGCTCCCAACATGAAACATAGTGTAGAAGTTTAAAACCCAGGACTAGAAAGAGGTGAGGTCTAAAAAACAAGTGGGAATCACATGACTGCCTAATGGATGTGAAGACTAAAGTCAGGGTCATTTTTTGCCCTGATAGACATGAATGGAAAATTTTCATTAATACCATACAGACAGCAAACACAACCAAGTGATACATTACACCAATACCAAAGAGTGCTACCATACTCATTTCTGATTAATAATTACTCTAGACAAAATTAATTCTTGGCATTGTAAATTTTACTAATTCTTAAAATGAAGTGATTTTTAAAAATTTGCAAAGCTTACACGTTTTCCCTGTTTTCTATTTTCTTTAACAACTTCAATTTCACACTTTAGCAGTGAAGAAAAACAATAGAAACATACACTACCTGTAAATTATCTTGTATTTTCCATCTCGTCCTTTGTCTGATAAGGCAACCTCGTAACTGTAGGGGAGGGAAAGACCACTGTGGGGTCCACACGAAACACCAAGAGGGGGAGCCCAGGACAACACAACTGTTCTGGCCTGAATATTAGAAACCTGAGGAAGAAAAACATGAGACAATATTCAAATCCATTTCACAAGGATCAGACACTATTTCTTCCAATAACTTTTTTGTAATTTTATCAGTGGCTTAAAACTGGCTCAGAGTTCATTCGAGGTGAACTATTTTAATTATGACCAAAGACTTCCCATACGGTGCTCTTCTGTAAAAGTCTTGATGTCCAAAAATGGCTCCTGCAACATCTGTCCCTACGATGTAAACTTTCATCCAAGTCCAGTGCAATTTGAATTCAGTCTTCCAGAAAGTAAAATAATCAGCCATGTTTGGAAACATTTTTTTAAGGTGAACAGTTTCATGTGAGATTTCAATGATCTACATGGTGGCCACATCAGTATGTGGAAGGAGCCATATCTGCAGGTACTCTCTGGTGACCTCCAAGCTTTGTTTGGTGTCAATTATTCTTCAAAGCTAATACCTTGCAAACTGAGTCCCTTGAAGTCCCGCAGATTCCCAGGAGAAGCCAAGGGGTGAGAGCTGGAACCAAGGACTGGGTCCACAAGGTTCATGTGTGTGGAAGTGGATATGTGCCACCTCTCCAAGCTCTGCTCTTATTTTTGGGGTTTGATCTCTCAGCTTTAGACTTCATTTGAACAAAGCCCTCTGGGCCTTAAAATACCCTAACTTACTCACACTCACTCGGTGCTCACTGAGGCGTGTTCCACACTGTCTCCCAGAGGCCCCCCAAGGCCTGAGCCCTAGCTGGCCACAGCAGCAACCTGGTCATCAGCAGATGCTGTTCTGGCTTCCTTCCCTTCCCTGTCACGGTTCCCCAGTCTCTAACAGGGGCTTCCCAGCTCACCTCTCTAGACGAACTATCTGCACTCAAATCTTGTTTACGGAGGCTGCCTCTGGAGAAACCCAACCTAAAGCATTCTAATTTTCTAAAGGTTATTTTATTGCTATTGGATATTGATCTGGACAGCATATTACAGCAAACTAAAAGCAAACAAATAAGACAACATAGATGCTAAAGCTTAATGTTCACAAAGGCATTATAGCTGTAGATGACTAGAGCGGTAATGGAGATGTCAATGATTCATTCCTACCTTTCTTCTTCAATTTTTGTCACTATCTAATAAAGATTACTAAACTTAATGAGGTTACTCAAATGCTTCAAATACACAAATCAATATGGAAAATGACTGCTGAGTCTCCCGTTTCAGCCTGTCACTCATGACATTTCCAGCAGAGATCCCTCCATAGCATTTCTGTTCCATACTGATGTAGCATCATGACACAGTTAGCCAATCATTTAGTCAGATTCCCACTCATCCTTCAAGACCCCAGCTGGATGTCATCGCCTCCAAGCAGTCTCTGTAAAGCATCTCACCCACCATCACTCCTCTACACACTATAGAGCCCTGTGGATACTGCTATCATTGCTATCATGTCTACGGTCCTTTTCCACCTCTCCCACTAGACTGTGAAACGTCCTAAGGACAAGGCTCAAATTATATAAACTGTGAATAGTAGTTGCCTAGTCAATGTTTATTGACTGAAAAATAAAAATCGAAGAAAATAAGATAGTCTGAGTTTCTGACACAGATGAACCAGTGGACAGGAGACTAGTCCTGCACATCTCTTTTTGCTATGGCGCTAGCAGGTCCTCTCCCCCACTCGCCTGTACCACACTGCTGTCACCACCCCTTCAGGACACTGTTTTTTCTCACGCCCCAAGACTTAGCATCTGGCCTTTCTACTTTCTTGGCTTTAACAAACTTCTTTTAAACCTAGCTCAAATGCTGCCTTTGTTTATTCACTTAGTCATCATGCCTCACCCTGCCAAAGGTTGTGGATACAAAGCTGATTAAGGTACAATCTTTGGCCTTAGGGAATCTCGATCTCTTGAAGAGAGAAAGGAATGTGAGGGGCCTCTTGGGAGATGTACTAGCACAAAGGAACCCTACGAGCTCTGAGACTGATTCAGAAAAGGTTTCTGCACTGTCTTTCCAGACGCCTTGGTCGCAATCACTGTCTTTCGTGCTCTTGTCATGTTTTCCTGGCACCTATATTTGGTGCTTATTTCATTACACTGAGCAGTCCTTGGATACTTGGGTTGTTTTCCTGCTTAGATTTTAAGACAGCATTTCTATCATACACCCATGTATTTGCTGAATTCCTTCACATAGCATTGATGGGAATCCTTACCTTAGGATATATTTTAGTATAAAGAGTTCAGCTTATAAGACAAAAAAAAAAAAAAAAAGGCTGATCAGGTACTGGGAAACATTCTATCAAGGTGATAAATGGCTCCTTTGCGCAATTCCAGGACAAAGTATGTAGTGACACTGATTCTGTGAATGGTGGTGTGAAACAGCTCAAATGCCAGTCCTCCAGATACTAAACAAGCATCCATAAATCCACATCCTTGTAAACTCTACTTTTTATGTCAGTTACTTCAAATTTACTTTTTTTCCTTTAGGACTTGGTTACATTACTACTTAACTGAACAGAGATGTACAACACTTGAAGCAGCAAATAAAATAATGTTCACCTTTCCCCTAGATTCCCTAAGCAAGCCTGCAGGAGGCAAAAATGCCATTGGAACACAGGTGTTCATGGAAATGCATTCTTTCACTATGTCAGCCTATCAGAAACACACCTGGAGAACTCAGCAACCTTTCAAAGGACAGGGGCTTCTGCAAATTCCTTCCTGGAGCTAAGCAGCCTGATGCCCAGATTACAAAGATCCAGAGCCAACTCCCCACTTGTGCTCCTGCTCCCTCCTCTTCACTGACTCCTGGTCTCAGGCTTGCTTCCTTAGGCAAAGGAACCCTGAGAGAAGAGCGCTTAGTCTCTGTTAGGACTTGAAACTCACTTCCACTTTGAGGCCAATTCCAGGAAATGACTACATGGTACCTTTCAAGAAAGTATCCCTCTCACTAGAGGTGGTTATTCTGAGTGTCCCAGGAAGTGATGCCCTCATGAGAGCTTTGGGACTCTGGGCACGTTGAGTTCAAAGAGCGACTATATTCACACATGGCCTTCATACTGCAAATCTCTCTCTGTGTTGAGACCTTTTCACCAGCAGTGAACACCTAAATTAACTAGAGCACAGCTAGTCTTATCATCACAGCAATCATCATGGCTGCTGCCCCTTCCCCCTCACCGCAAAAAAAGTTTAGAAGGCATTAAGAGGACTTCCTGATGTTCAACTAATCTACCATAACTAGAGGTCAACCTCCTCTGTAACGGTGATTAAAATGGTGATTTCTAGCTATGAAATTACTGGACAAGGTGCAATCTGATATTTGTTTTTGCACTAGCTATATGAAAGTCTGTTGTGTAGGTTACTAGCATGTATCTGCATATGAATCATTTAAACTAACTGCTTTCAAGTACCTTGAAGGACTCATAAAATCACTACCTACTTCTAAATGGTCACATCTGGTTAGAAATCACTCTTGTCTATGTATTTATTAAATACAGATTCCAACTTGAGAGCAGCTGTCATATGTATGTATGTCATATGTATGTCTACATATAAGAACATTATAACACTGAACTATCTTGCAGCTATATGATATGTAATCCTCAGCTCTCTTTCTCCTTGCACCTTCTCTCCAGTTCATACTAATCTATAAAATTTTACAATTTTCATACTCAGAGTTTGTTATATGTAAATAATATTCATTTCAGATTAGAAACATCATTCTTGGGGTTATTGCTTCTTTCGGGTTCAAAAATACTTCTTTGTAGCTAGTTGCTTCTAAATTTGGTCTGGCCTTTGGACTTAACTATGTGGAGGCCTACTGATTTAATTCAGGAATACACTAAGGAAATATCACCACAAAAACACTGAGTTTACTTCTAAAGTACCATCATGAGAAACAACATCACAAAGGAAGATAAATGCAATAGGAAAAGGTCAAAGAAAAAGTATACTTGGATCTCAGATCACAATCAATTGTTTTTACAGCTCCTTAAGTGCTAAGAACCTCCTATCTGTTTCCAGATATACTGCTGTTTATCTTTCAAGTAATTGCTTCTTACAGGGGAAGTGTTCCTCTCAGGTCAGTTTACTTAAACTGGAACCTGGCAAATCAATAGTTTCAACAAGCTAAACATTAGTGGATGGAAACAATGCAGAACCACAATTCCAGGTTACGTTTATTTATATCCTGAAAATAAACAGCCCGCCACTCTATGGGAGACTACATTTAGCAACACCATCAGAGAAGATTAGACCGTTTGGCTGGAGGGGCTGGTTAATTCCTAAGCCACTTAGGATAATTTCAAGTTCATCTTTCTGGCACAGCTGTGGCTATACCAGTGAAGTCTCCATGGCTCCTAACTGCAACAGTCCCAGAACAAACACCTAGCATATTTGTGTACCGTTTTAATTAAGTTAACTATGTATTTGGATCTTTTTGGTATTTGAGTCTCTGAAGAGTACTTGTTCGATTCAGTGTGCCCAAAGTTCTAGAAAGGTGACTAGAATCCCCAAATACTAGGTATTATTTCTATACCTAAATCATCTGCAAGATCTCAAAGAAAAGTATATGCCTTCTATTTAGAGATGCTACCAAATATGGCTGAAAGAAAAATAAAATTAAGAATAACAATCCTTTTTATAATTATGTGCCCCACTTTCTACAGCTCTGCTTCTTTCTGTGGAAGATGGCCTGACACTTTTCCTTCCCATTTCAGAATGTAGCAAGGAGTTTCACCTTTGTTTAATGATATGCTTTGAACTATAGAAATATACTCCATTCCAAGTATTTTCTTTTTTCCTTAGAGGTAGGATCTCTCTGTACCCTAGGCTGGAGTGCAGTGGCATAATAGCACACTGCAGCCTCAAACTCATGGTCTCAGGCAATTTTCCCGCCTCGGCCTTCCAAGTAGCTGGGACTATAATAAGTGTGTGTTACCACACTTGGCTAATTTCTAAAATTTTTTTAGAGATAGGATCTCACTATGTGCCCAGGCTGGTCTTGAACTCCTGACATCAAGTGACCCTCCTGCCCGCCTCCCGATAGCTAGGATCACAAGTATGAGCCACTGAGTCTGGTCCTTCCAAGTATTCTATGAATAGTACATAATTTACTTCTCAGTCCAATGTGGTATACATTATTTCCTACCTTTCAAAGACGAAGAAACTGAGGCACAGGGAGATTTTGTAACTTATCTAAGGTCAAAAAAAAACAATTAATAGCCATGCTAGGTCCCAGTCCAGACAGTCAGGTTGCAAGCACAGGCCGGCTCCCTTCCAGGCTGCTTGCTGCCTTGTACTCTGACTGAGCCCTATCCTCTGGGGCTGAGTAGCCTCAAGGCAGTTGTTCCACCTGCCAGAATCTAGCTACAGCCACTGCAGTTGGCCACACATCACTCAGCAAACATCTATTAAGGGCTCACTATGTGCCAAGGACGGTGCTATGTATCGGAGACACAAAGGTCAGCAAGACACAATCACAAAGGCGAACTTTAGAGAGAAAAGGGGTAGGAGACAGAAAAGAAACCACATAGCTTTCTGGGCTAGGAAGGAAGGAAGATTTATGGAAATTGGAGCAGTGTGGTGGGCAGAAAAATGACACCCAAAGAAGTCCACATTCTAGTCCTAGGAACCTATGAATACATTGCCTTACATGATGAAAGGAACTTTGCAGGTGTTAAGAATCTTGTGAGGGGAGGCTATCCCAAACTATCCTGCTGGGCCCAATGTCCTTCCAAGTGACAGAGGGAAGCAGGGGAGTCAGAGTCAGACAAGGACACATGACAGTGGAGGCAGAAGTCAGAGGGTTGTGCCTGCTGACTTAAAGGACAGAAGGGGACGCGAACTGAGGGACACAGGCTGCCACAAGACACTGGACAAGGCAAGGAAACAGATGATCTCCCAAGCCTCCAGAAAAAAATGCAGCCCAGCCAGACACACTGTGGCCTTTCTGGCCTCTAGAACTTTATGATAATAAATATGTATTGTTTTAAGTCACTCAATTTGTGGTCACTCGTTACAGCAGCAATGGGAAACTAACACAAGTGGACAGGAAGAGAAGCTGTTTTGCTTACATACAAAAGCAGAGGCCAGAAGCGAGCACAGCACTCCTGAGAACTTCCCTGGTCTGGTATGTCTTCTGCTCAGGCAACTGGGGCACACTTGGGCTGCCACCAGAGACCCAGACCCAGAAGATGGTCAGTACCCATTCACCACACACATCCTGGTGAAGTAACTGCATACAGAGATGCCCACTTCCTATCAGGTGATTTTCACCAAACTTCTTAAAAGTCAGGATGCCCCGTTTTGGTAAGTCCAAGTCTCAATGTTAAAAAGAGCATCAGGCTGAGCACGGTGGCTCAGGCCTGTCATCCCAGCACTTTGGGAGGCCGAGGCAAGAGGACTGTCTGAGTCCGGGGGTTTGAGACCAGCCTGGGCAACTTGGTGAGACCTTGTCGCTACAAAAAATTTAAAAAAAAAAAAAAAAAAGGAGGCTGAGGCGAAAGGATTGCCTGAGCCTATGGGCCCGAGACTAGCCTGGGCAACGTGGTGAGTCCTCGTCTCTACAATAAATCCAAAAATTAGCCGGGTGTGGTAGTGCGAGCCTGTAGTTTGGCTCCTTGGAAGGTTGAGGTAGAAGGATCGCTGAAGCCCAGCAGGTCGACACTGGAGTGGCAGTGGCTGTGAGTGTGCCACCGCGCTCCAGCCTGGGCAATGAAGTGAGACTCCGACTCAAAAAAAAAAAAAAGAGCACCAGACAGAAATGTTGACCTACAGACCCTTAACAACTAGAGTCTGTGACTGCTTGAGACTTGTTTCCACCTCTTGAAAGGTTTCTGGCCTGCCATTGCCAAGCCTCGATAATGAGCTGTTTGCTTACACAGCAGAACAGACAGAGTTAGCTTTACGAGACTAAGGAGAACTCCTAGCTCTGTTCACTCTATCGGTACCCATCTCAACCATGCTGATGTGAAAATGGTATCTTCTGACAGAACTTCTAACCCCAAGGCCATTTTAGAAGGTTGCAGGAGGGTTGGGAGCAAGAATGGAGTCCAGGTGAGCTGGCTGGCCCTGCAGACTGGCTGCTATCCTGTGGCATTTACCCAAGCGAATTCTCCAGGCCTGGCCCTCTGCCCAGCAGACACAGACACTCAGTCTAGTTGGTATATCAAAGGCAGTCAGACTCAGGAATGCTAAAACCAACTATAAGGCTTGTAGAATCAGATACATAAAACCAGGTCACCAAATAATAGTTCATAAGGATAACATTATCTGGTAGATTAGTACCATCGACCTGCCTCACATATTTCTCTCCGTTGCCTACATGGAAGCCAAATTCTCTAAAGGCTACTATGGGGTACCAAATAAGAACAAGCGGAGTCAGCTGCATGACCCAAGGGTCTGAAGGCCCTGGGCTCTGAGACGCCAACTCTCCATATGGGGCCTGAACTGCCTGGCCAGGCTGAGACGGCAGGGCCAGGATCCATCTGCTTCTGTAGCCAAACAGTCCTTTTCTCCAAATACTCTAAGTCTTCCGATGACACTCTGGCCATATCACACCTTACATCACAGCCACTTAGAAAAAGCCTGTCCCATCTGCCCTGCTCCAAAAACCATAAAGATTAAGCGCCTAATAAGTGCTGAATCAAAAAAAAGGACCCATGCATCTAAGCACTGCTTTTATCTTGCCAGAGTCACATCACCCTCAAGAAACATAGCTTCTGCGACTTCTGCAGTAGAGATGTGACAAGGAGTATCTGAAAAGAGCACTGTGTGCACACACCTGACTGAGACAGGACCATGAACCTCTGTGGCCACACCTGGGGCGATGGGCTGACCAGTTCTCTGCCCTCTCTCTGAAGACGACACCCTGTTTTCCGTATGGGCTTTTCTTCTTCCTGCTACCCTATAAACGCGAGCTTTTCCCATGCTTCTGCTCTCAAGCCTTTCATAACCTCGCCCCATCCCCACGCCGAAAGCTATCACCCTCTCCGACAACCCTGTCACTCCGATGCAAGTGACCTCACAGTAACTCATTTCCCTTTCTCCACAGCACTCACCTGCCATACACTTCCGACTGCCCACACACGACCTTTCGGGAAGCCCTGCCAGAAAGATGAAAAGGTCACATGCCCAAGGATGGCACTGAGGACACAGGAGGGACAGGTGTGAACCTGTGCAAGGGGCCCTTCTGCAGGTTACTGGGAAACACCCCGATATGAGGAATGGGGAACAGTGCATTAAGGACAACAGCAGAAGTGCATGGACAACACGGTGGCTCTGGGGTAGAACCCGGGGCACTAAATACGTACTATGTGGAGCACACCACTTGATGGGCATAGACAGCTGCCAAGGGAGAACAGGGGTCCCCAACCCCCAGGCCACGGGCCACAACTGGTCCATGGTCTGTTAGGAGCCGGGTCACACGGCAGGAGGTGGGCAGGCAAGCAAAGCTTCCATCTGTATTTGCAGCCATTTCCATAACTCACATGACCGCCTGAGCTCCTCTTCCTGTCAGATCAGCAGCGGCATTAGATTCTCCTAGGAGCACAAACCCTACCGTGAGCTGTGCATGTGAGGGATCTAGGTCGCGTACTCCTTAGGAGAATCTAATGCCTGATGATACGAGGTAGAGCTGAGACAGTGATGCCAGTGCTGGGAGTGGCTGCAAATATAGGTTAATATTAGCAGTGAGGTTTGACTGCACAGAGACCAAAATAAATCCCTTGCAGACTTACATCAAAACAATAATTTCACAATTATTTCATGATATATCCCAATGTAATAATAGAAATAAAGTACACAATAGATGTAATGCACTTAAATCATCCTGAAACCATTTCCCCACACCACTCTCCATCCGTGGAAAAATTGTCTTCCATAAAACTGATCCCTGATGCCAAAAAGGCTGGGGACCACTGTCTTAGAAGAAGCAATTCCCTAAAGGAGGCATCTAAATCTGAAGCCCAGCTCTCCATGACTCTCAATATCTAGGAAGTCAGAACACCTTATTCCACCTCTGGAGTAGCTTTAGCCCATCCTGGCCACATCTGGCACCGCCACCCCAATTCTGACACCCATGGCCTCTCCTCAGCACTACAACTGTAGACGCCTAACACTCTCTCCTGCCCCACCACCACTCCAGCTCATCTGTCCACCGCTTGGCCATCCCGAAATGCAGCCCTGACCACATAATGTCTTGGCTCAAAACCTGCCCCTTACAGAGTAAGCACTGACTCCGCCCAGCATGACACCTAGGCTTCCACGAATGCCCTGTCATGCCCATCCCCCAACACACCTTGTGTCTTTAGGCTTAGACAAACTCAACTATGTACCTTGAGGCATGTTTGGACTCCTCTGTGGAAAAGCCTCAGTATTTGAAACACACAAAGAATCAACGTTTCCCAATTCAGTTAGAAAACACTCCAAAGAACTCTGGCTCTCTAATCTCACATGAAAGGCTGAATCAACATTCTGAAGTTTTCACTTGGATTTCAAAGCACCTGGCAAAATTGAACTGAAAACCTTACAATATCACCACTCCTACAGGTTTTTGTTCTTACCATTGCTGCCAATGTGTTCTAGACTTATTTTACTCAGTTAATATTTAAATATCTTTTTAAAATTACCTGGAAGAATTATTGGAATTACTAAGGTTTTCAAAATTAATACGTTTACACAGGCTAAAAAAAAGTTACCAAAACTGTTCTGTAGATCTGAGAATGAGAAAAAAATGCTTCCTTGGAAGTTGGCAAGAATATCTAATTGCATCCAGAATACCTAAATAAAGACAGCATTTCAGTGGATTGTGACTACACAGAGGACTGCTGTTCTATATTTTCATGCTCCATTAATAACTGAACACTATTTCATAGCTGATGAATAGTCTGCAATGGGAGGGGGGCCCTTCTGCTTACCTACTGTGTGGTGAAAGAAAAGCACATTTGAAACACTTTAAAATGTGTCATTTATGCTGAGAAATCCAGAAGACATACCTGTGGTTTCTCTATTCCCGAAAGAATGTCTTGCACCCTCTTTACTTCCAACTCATACTCTGTATTGCAAAAAAAGAAAAAAGGAAAATACCATTAGAAGGCAATAAGGTTGTGAAGTTCCTTCCCCAAGGCCTTTTAACTAGGGTTATCATTAAATTGATTTCCCGTTACCACAAGTTTTTGGAATTATAAATGTGATAAAGAAAATCAGGAACAAGGATCTCTTTGGTATAGGGGTTTCACTTGCCACTGTATAGTTTTAAGCAGCCACAATGTTAGCGAGATTAACACAGAGTTCTGTTTAACAATTCAACAGGCAACAGACAAGAAAGGGTCCTGAGAAGGGCACGTGGAGAGACCAGCGAAGAGATGAGGTTGAAGAGACAAGGGTTAATCCACGGCAATCACATTGTCTAGTTAAAATTTTATGAGAAATAATTTATTTGCACTCAAGAGTTTAAGTTTGATGGGCATCCACTGAAGTGTTTAAGTGGAGTGACGTGATCTTATTTTGAGCTTGAGACAACCTGCTAGGCTTCTGCGTGAACAACGGACCAAAGGAAGGTAAGCATGGGAGCAGAAAGAGTAGTCTGCGTGTTGCTGCAGTGTCGCAGGCAAAGACTGGGGTTGCCTGGGCTGGAGTGGGAGTGAAGATGGTGAGAGGACAGCTTCAGAGGGACAGGTGCCGAAGGACCGGATGCCACGGGCAAGGGCAAGGAAGGGGAAGAGCCAAGGATGAATCCTACTTTTGGCTTGATCAAGTGGCTAGAAGATGGTTTCTTTTAGTAAGATAGGGAAATGGTCTGCTTTGGGATGGGATGAGACTTAGGTTTTAAGAGAAAGGGGAAACGTGCTTGGAATGGAGAAGATGGGGTGGGAAGCACGTGTACCCAAAAGGAGGAATGACAGAATTTAAACGGAAGAGCCTCTCATTTGTTAGAGAAGCCTCTGGGTGTTCACAGCAGGACTGATGGAATCTGATTCTGAGTTCACGGTAGATTCCATTTAACCGTTCACTCAAGCTTACAAACGAAACAATATATATACGACTACCAGGACATTTCATGTGTGGTGGGGAGGGGGCAGGGGAATGGGTGCCAACAGGCGAGTGTAGTGCCTTGTGGCTGGTGCTGTGGGCAAGGTGACCCAAGAAGGGCAGCTGAGAAGGCTCCTAAGAGTAGCCTCTAGCCCCCTACAGATGAGCAGGCCCTTGGCGGGAAGGGAGGAGGGGGACATGGGGGTGAGCGTGGGTCAGCAAGCTCCGCTCTTCAGAGCGATTCGTCCTTATTGTTCAGATCTCATCTCAAATTGGTCTCTTCTGGAAGTCCCACCTCAACCCCTGCCCCAGCCTCATTCCTGTTACTTTCATATCCTGTTGCCTTATCAATTATAAAAATCTGAAAATAATTCTCATTTCTTTGTTTCCTCACTTATTATTGGTCTTTCCTACTAAAATATAAGCTTTCTTTAAAACATAAGCTTCAGGAAGGCAGAAATACTATAGGTCTGAAGCAGGTAAATTTTTTTCACAGAGAACCAGATCATTGTGGGTGTGGGGATGTGTGTGTGTGTGTGTGTGTGTGTTGGAGTCTCACTCTGTTGCCCAGGTTGGAATGCTGTGGCACAATCATGGCTCACCACAGCTTCGACCTCTTGGGTTCAGGCAAGCCTCCCAACTCAGCCTCCCAAGTAGCTGGAACTACAGGAGTGTGCGACCACACCTGACTAATTTTTTTATTTTTTGTAGAGACAAGGTCCCACTATGTTGCCTGGGCTGGTCTCAGACTCCTGGGTTCAAACAATCCTCTCTCCTCAGCCTCCCAAAGTGCTGAGATTACAGGTGAGAATCACTGCACCTGACCAAGAACTAGATAAATAATATTTTAAACTTTGCAGATCCCATGTAGGTCTCTTACATACTCTTTCTTTTTGTTTTCATAACCCTTTACAATGTAATAACCACCATCTTAGTCTGTACAAAAGCAGGCTACAGGGCAGGCTGTAGTCTGCCGATTCCCACCCCCACCACCGCCACCAAGGACATGGTCACCAGCTGCTCACACAGTTCTTGCTTGTTCAGAGCTCAACAGATTTTTCTTGACTAAGCCAGTGAACAAAATATGCATTTAAAAATAATAAAACTTCTAGCTGGCATTTCCCTAAACTTCACAAGGATGAATTCCTCATTTTTCCCCCTTGTGTTCTGTTTAATAGAACTTATTTACCTTAGTGCTGACAAGAGAAATAGATAGGCAAGTGGCAATATCATAGTTTGAAAACCTGCAAGCTTTTAAAAGAAAACCCATATTCAAAACAACCAAATGTCACAAGTCCATTTATATCCACGTACACATTTAAGATACAGATAACAGATCAGACATGGTGACTCATGACTGTAATCCCAGCACTATGGGAGGCTGAGACACGAGGATCCCTTGAGGCAAGAAGTTCGAGACCAGCCTAGGCAACAAAGCAAGATTCTGACTCTACAAAAAATTTTAAAAATTTAGCCAAGGGTGGTGGAACATGCTGGTAGTCCCAGCTAATTGAAAGTCTGAGGAGGAAGGATGCCTTGAACCTAGAAGGTACTGGCCTCTCCAAAGAGTTGTGTAGAATCAGATGACTGATGAATTGTGCCACTGAACTACCATAGGTGACAGAGTGAGACCCTGCCTCCAATAAATAAGCAAACAAATAGTATCCATAAATCAAAAGTAGATATACCCTCACATTTTTGTTCTTTTTCTTTTAAAATTTATTGTATTTTAAAGATGTGGGATACAATTCAGGATTAGATATACAAGTGGGTCATCGTACAGGTAAAGTTTGGACCTATCTTTGGTACTCACTTTGCCAGGTTTGAGATTAGGTACCCTTATTAATGTTATATGTACCCCCCTTCCTGCAGTTTCTGGCTACTGTCAATCCCTTTCTTACAGTATTATGGTAAATGTTCAGGTTCCGCTTATGAGTGAGTACATATGGTACTCAATTCTTTGTTTCTGTGATAAATGAGTATGATAGACTCCAAATCCATCTAAGTTGCTGCAAGATCCATATGTTTGTCCTTCTTTATGGCTGTATAATATTCCATTGTGTATATGTACCACATTTTTAAAATCTAGTTCAGATTCAATGGGCAGCACGGTTGGTTCCATGTTTTTGCTATTGTGAATAGTGTTGCAATAAATATGTGCAGGTATCTTTTTTGTAGAACGACTTGAGTTTCTTCGGGTACATTCCCAAAAGGGGGACTGCTAGATCATAAGGAAGGTCAATTTCTAATTCTGATAGGAATTGCCACACTGTTTTTCAAAGAGGTTAAACTATTTTGCATTCCCACCAACAGTGTAGATTTTTCTCTGCATCCTCGCCAGCGTGTTTCTTGCTTTTTTTTTTGAGTTGAAGTCTCACTCTGTCACCCAGACTGAAGTGCAGTGGTCACTTCCAGCCACTGCAGCCTCGACCTGCTGGGCTCTGGCGATCCTTTCACTTCAGCCTTCCAAGTAGCTGGAACTACAGGCACGCACTACCACGCCTGGCTAATTTTTTTTTATTTATTTATTGTAGAGATGAGGTCTTGTCAAGTTGCCCAGGCGGGTCTCAAACCCGCCAGCTCAGGCAATCCACTTACCTCAGCCTCCCAAAGGGCTGGGATTACAGGCTGAGCCACCGAGCACAGCTGTTTTTTGCTTTATTAATGATGGCTATTCTTACTGGAGTTAGGTGGTATCTCAATGTGGTTCTGATTTGCATTTCTCTGATGATTAGTGATGCTAAGCATTTTTTCCTGTGTCTGCTGGCTGCTCAAATGTCTTCTTTTGAGAAGTGTCTATTCATTTCTTCTTTTTTTATGAGTAGGAGTCTCACTCTGTCACTCAGGCTGGAAGGCAGTGGCAAGCTCACGGTCACCCCAGCATCGACCTGCCGGGCTCCTGCAATCCTTCCGCCTCAACCTTCCAAGTAGTCGAAACTACAGGCAAGCGCTACCACACCCAGCTAATTTTTGATTTATTGTAGAGATGAAGTCTCACCCATTTGCCCAGGCTGGTCTCGAACACGCAGGCTCAGGCAATCTACTCACCTCGGGCCTCCCAAAGTGCTGGGATTACAAGTTGAGCCACTGAGCCCGCCCTATTCATGTCTTTTGCTCATTTTTTTAATGGGACTGTTTGAGTTTTTCCAGTAGGTACGTTTACCCTCACATTTTCTGGAAACCCCTATTAAGTAAACTATTAATACTATGTATCTCAAAAGTTATTTGCCAGTTTAAAAAAGCTCAAACCAAACAAAACGCAAGCACAGTCACAATAAATAAAGTGGTTCGATTGTTAAAGCCAACACTTTCTCAATTTCTGGTATTCTAGAGTTTGTAGGTCCCTGTGGTTTCAAACCACTCACAAAGTTACATTCAAACACTTCGCTGATGGAGTGAGCTGTTTCCTCCTGCCAGAATGGCACATTTGAGTTATCTTAGATGGGCAAGAAACCAGACTCTCTCCTTGGAACAATAAAGGCTTAGACTAGAACAACGATGATGTCCTGCTCAACACAGAAAGGAGGAAAGAATTAAAGAGATTTGAAAATAAAGATCCTAGCCGGGCTCAGTGGCTCAGCGTGTAATCCAAGCACTTTGGGAGGCTGAGGAGAGTGGATTGCCTGAGCCTGCGGGTTCAAGACCAGCCCAGGCAACTTGGCGAGACCTTGTCTCAACAATAAATCAAAAATTAGCCAGGCGTGGTAGTGCTCGCCTATAGTTCCAGCTACTTGGAAGGCTGAGGCGGAAGGATCGCTGGTGCACAGCAGGTTGATGCTGGGGTGGCCATGAGCATGCCACTGCACTCCAGTCTTGGCGACGGAGTGAGACTCCAACTCAAAAAGAAAACAACAACAAAAAAAAACAAGGAAAAGAAAAGAAAGATTCCTTATGACTATGCACTAGAGACTATAGTATGAAAATAACGGAGAGTTCAATTTCTTAACCAACTTATCTTCAACAAAGCCTCCACTAACGGTCACTGGGGAGAGGAGAACCTATTTAGTCGATGGTGCTGGGAAA